CCCCCCCGGGACATCCCCACCCTGACCCTTCAGCTTCTGGTTGTGGGCTCGCTCTTGCCCTACTCAAAAGGGTTCTGTTCAAGAATGGTGTCTTGGTGGGGAGCTCCCCAGGCCTTGGATTAAAGCGGGTGGCGGCCCTGTGTGTGTGACCGTCTTTGGTTGCTTTTCTTACATTTATAGGGTTTTTTGGTTTTAATTGAACAGTATGATTGCTCTTGCTGTGCTCCATCCATACTTGTTGTCGAGTGGGGCGGCCTTAACACACATCTGAAATCAATCCATTGGTCCAGTTAGTGCCTCTCCCCAGGATCCTGATTAGTACTTGACTGCGTGTGTCATGTTTCATTGATTGCTTTTCGTTTTTTAACGAGGGCTAAAGTTGTGGTTGTCCGAGGTATGGAAGATTAGGCACCAAGTGGGCCATAACAGAGGATCCCCAAGCAGCTTGCGAGAGGTGCTTTTTTGGATCTGTGTGGGAAGGACACCGGCGACGGGCCCATCCTGCTAGCGCTGGGAGCGGCTCTCCAGAGTCCCAGGCCCAGAGCTACTCTCCGAAAGTTCAGGATCAGGGCTGAGCAGGGTATCCACAAGAAGCGCGAGGTCTTTCACAGAGCAGTGATTCATCCTCACTTTCTGCTCTGCTCTTATACTCCAGGAAACGATCTCTACCTTCTTTCCTCCAATGGGATGTTCTGGAACAGCTCAGACGACGAAAGCTCGAAGGAGCCAGCCCACGGAGCGCCTGAGATTTGGTCTCGTCAAAGCCCAAGGCGGCCCACAGACCACAAAGATGGCTTTGGGGGTGGAAAACAGGCCCCCGTTTTGGAGGCTGCCAGTCCGACGGGGATCCCCTACCCCTGTCCCCTTTGCGAGCAGAGCTTCCGTGGGAAGAAAGAGCTGGACCGACACCAGAGGAGTATTCACATGGGGGACAAGCCGCACGCCTGTGCCGTGTGCGGGAAAGCCTTCCGCGACAAGAGCGATCTCCGAGTCCACGAGCGGATCCACACAGGAGAGAAACCCTTCCCGTGTGACGTGTGCGGGAAATCTTTCCGTGAAAAAAGCAAGCTGATCGTCCACCAGAGGATCCATACTGGGGAGAAGCGCTGCGTGTGCCAGGAATGTGGGAAAAGCTTCAGAGACAAGCATTACTTGCGGGATCACCAGCGAATCCACGCAGGAGAGAGGCCCTACCACTGCCAGGACTGCGGGAGGAGCTTCCGGACGCGAAGCCATTTTACTCTCCACCAGCGAATCCACACGGGAGTGAAGCCGTACCTTTGCAACGAGTGCGGGAAAACCTTTGTGCAAAAAAGCAACTTGATAAGTCATCAGAGGATCCACACTGGAGAGAAACCCTTCCCATGTGAAGAGTGCGGGAAGACCTTTCGGGACAGGAAGACCCTTCGGTATCATCGGAGAATCCACATGGGCGAGAAGCCCTACCCATGCCAAGACTGTGGGAAGACGTTTCGGGACAAGAGCAGCCTCACCGTCCACCAGAACATCCACACTGGGGAGAAGCCCTTCGTCTGCTGGGAGTGCGGGAGGAGCTTCCGGGAAAAGATGTACCTGAAGGACCACCAGAGGATCCACACCGGGGAGAAGCCGTTCTCTTGCCAGGCGTGCGGGAAGACCTTTCGGGCCAAGAGGACCCTGACGTACCATGAGCGGATCCACACCGGAGAGAAGCCCTTCGCCTGCCTGGACTGCGGGAAGACGTTCCGAGGGAAGAGCAGCCTCACCGTCCACCAGAGGATCCACACGGGGGAAAAGCCCTTCCTGTGCTGGGTCTGCGGGAGGAGCTTCCGGGAGAAGGTCTACCTGAGGGAGCACCAGAAGACCCACCTGGAAGAGAAGCCCCACCCCTGCCGCGACTGCGAGAAAAGCTTCGTGCACAAGAGCCACCTGACCAGGCACCAGAAGTTCCATGGGCCCCCTTCCCCACATTGACTGGGGAACCTCTGGTGCCAGGTGGGATTTCTCTGGGGCCTGTAAGTTGGCACGGGAGGGAAGCCAGGAGGGCACCTGGGAACCGAGCTCCTTCGTCTCTCAGTCTCACCTCCCTAACCCGGACTCTTCGGCTCCCGTTATCTCATGCCAACGGTCACCTCGTCCAGTACCTTTGGACAACTGGTCAGGGAAGGTTTGTTGAAATATTGGTGCTTCTTAAGCTAATTCTATGACTCTTACCCGTTTCAGTAATAATAATTATCCTTTTTTTAAAAGTTGTATTTATAGCTTTTTTGATGGAGGGGGGAGGCTGTGCTGGGTGGGCTTGCTGTGGAGCGTCTTTTCATTGTAAACTGCCCTGTGAGTTTTTATTGGCTGGAAGTCGGCTTAGAGATTGGAGAAGTTAATAAAGTGTGTCCAGAAACGCCAGCAAAGTGTACTCACTCCTCTATGAATGGACCGGATTGCCTTTTAAATCTGCCTTCAGCCAGTAGCCATCACCCCGGAAGAGGAATCATAAAGGTCGTGCGTGTGCTGTCCATCCTGAATCTCTTGTCCATTTTAAGGGGTCACTCTAGCTTCTGTAACACAAGGGGAAAAATTGTCCCAAGTTTTCCAAACTAATCAAGACGCTGCTTTTTGTTCCAAATAAACCGCATCCTGTTTCATCCGGGGTTCACACATTATGTTAAGGTGTGATTCACTTAGCCATGGTTTGTTGAATGAATCATGGTGGGCTAAGTTTTAAAACATTAAGCCAAAAGAAAAGAAGCCACATTAGGGTTTAGAGGGATATCGGACATCAATCAGAGTCTTGCTCTGGAAGAACCCACAGTGATGTCATCATACCTGTCATGATGTCATTTGTGCAAATGATGTGACCAATTGCAGGCCGTTTGTGGCATCATTTGCACAAGAACGTTATGGTGGACGTGACATCGCTTGTTCCCCCTCTGCAGACCCCGGAACTCTCCTCCCCACCTTCTGCCCCCTCTCCGGCCTTTTGTACTCCACGTGTGGAGGCACCACAGATTTGTGTCGGAAGATTGTGACGTGGGCAGTTTTATTTCAGTTCCTCTCTGAAATGTGATCCTAGCCAGAGCGTTTACGCTTTGACCACCATCGCATCTTCGCGCCTGGGATCGGCCTTTCGGCAGAGGCCCGCTCTCAGCCGCTCCGCAGTGCGGGAGTTGTGGGGACTTGGGCTCCAGCAAGCCACGCTAGCGGCGCCGTCCCTTCCCATTTGGGGCCCGGGCTGCAGGCACCCTTTGTATCTTGGGGTTTCCTCGCCCCTCAGCTCTGGGCCGGGCCCTTCTGACTCTCTTCAGCCACGGGGAGCGCAAGGGGGCCCAAGCTGCCCCCCAGCTGGCAGCGACGGGGGAGGGGCCGTGGCCTT